TTTAACATGGCAAGACACGGAATAAAACGAATATTAGCAATGAGAAATGCTAGAAAATAATTTATCGCTGTTCTATTGTAACTTTCACGTCATTCTGATGTACTATATACGAAAACGCTAATACCTAACAAGTGATGCAACTTAACATTTTATAGCATGTTGAGTGCTAATGCATATTATTCATATTCATTTCAGTTGTTTAGTTCGTAATACTTTCGCTCTTGCGAAATAATGATCTTGCGATAATGATACAATATTACATTATAATGTACTACTGTATTGCAGATTACATTGCATTATAATGTAATATTTGCATTGCGTTAATAAAAGGAACGAAAAAAAACTACATCTCTAAAAACCTGTTGTATTTCAAACAATATTCATCATTTAAAGATAATTTTCTTTAAAATAATACTAATTTCCTGTGAAGGTCAAACAGAAAACAAATAAAGGTTTTAGGTAAAACAAAAATCCTGCTATTCTAGTATAAAAATAGCGTCTTTTGAGAAGCTAGCATTGCTTTTTTCAAAATCGAAATCCAGTAAAGAGTTAAAAAGTTATTAAAGTTTACCTAATTTTTAGTCCGAGTGGTTACCGCAGCAATGAAAAATAAATTTATCACTTAAAATAATGTTTTAAAAGAAACTCTAAATACCTCTTATATTAACATAACTCTCTAACAATGTCTTTGCATTTCAAATTTAAAAATACAGGACACAAATTTACGAAAAATCGTTTCATTCATTATTTTTAAAAGGTAGGATTTAAATAAGTAGATATTATGGAACAAATAATGCATTTTTATCAATTAAATTTCCTTTTAAATTGAATAAAATAACATCATTATTCTATAGTTTCATAATTGTTTGTAAGAGAAAACAATATTTCCTTCATCGAAATTTATCTACCGTAATTATCTATCATATTTATTACAAGTTAAAAATAAAACCAAAGTTTCTTAAATGCGATATTCCTTAGCATAATGCATTTACTAATGATCTTGGTGAGTCAGCTCTAAATTTTCTAAAAGCTTTTAAGATTAGAAATAATGGAAGTTTTCGACAATTTCTTCTTGATTTATAAAAACCAAAATCACTGCGTAAGAATAAAAGCAGTAGAATATGTTTCTTAAAAAATAATTAAGTTACAAGCTAATATTTTTTCCAATTTGATTGAAATGAATTATATTGCAAAAATGCACTTAGTTGTTTTTAAAGGAATTTATATTTAGCAAATTTTGTTTTTACTTGTAAGACTGTCCATAGAAAAAATAATTCAAACGCTAAACTGTTGATAATCGATATGTATAAAATTTTAATGATTAAATTAATATTAAACTGAGTATTATAAATAATATTGTTTTCATTTCGTAAGTTAGAAATTTTAGAATCGAATGTAGTTATGTTACAATAAGTGAGGTTAAATCAGCGTTTTTGCGTGGACACCAGTAAATATATTCATATGATTACTAAATTAGGTAGTGGATTATTGAATATTTGTCAAATTTACCAGGTTACTTTATAAATAATTAACTTACTGTCGGGATAGCAATTAATTTAGATTTATTTGGAGAATAACAAAGTTTTAATAAGAAAAGTATATTATATATTATTACAGTAATTCTTCTGAAACAAGCATAATTAAGAAACAAGCATAACAAGTGAGTAAGAAATAACATTTTGAAAAAAATTATGTGAGTGGTTTTCAGATTTTTTTTTTAAATCTAAATCACTATAGATAAAGATTTGCGAACTAATTTCAGTAATAACATAATCTAGTTTTATTTAAAATAATACAAAAAAATCAACAAAAAGCAGAACTAGATTTAAAAGTACTTTAAAAATTACTGGTCCATTTTACCGTGAAATATACATTACTTTGAAATAAGTCCATGTTACCGTAATATTTATTCTTTGCCATAAAATAATATACCGTAATTTTTACTGTAATTTTTATTTCATTGCCGTGATTCAGTGATTTACGGTAATTATTGTGGTAGTAACTGCAGTATATCAGATTTTTTTTGTTCCTGTAAGAATTAATGTTACTGTAAAAAGAACCGAAACCTTGATTATTGGTACTTTTTACTTTAATTGTATTAAAATTATAACAGTATAATGAAGCATTGAGACTGTATATAAAATTAAATATAATAGTTTTATTTCAGCAAAAATTAATTTTAGAAGACTGAGAGAAGGCTGTCTGTAAAATTGAACTATGCCCGTCTTATTTTTTCAAAAATAGGATATTTTTTTGAATTTAATTTCATATTTAGGAAAATAAAGTTAAAACAAAAAAATACCTATGCAGATATTTCCAAAGAGAAAACTATTTTCAAAATCCTTTTAATTTCTCTCCTATATGTGTTCATTAGAACAAAATATTTTCTAGTCCTACTCTGTCTGCAACGATTTACAGAAACTCAGCAAATTAATCTATTTAATAAATTCTATCGTATATACACACAGCTAACAATCAAAGTTAAGAAAATGTTCGCTACATCTTTGCCTACTTTCCACTCAAACTGGCATCTCCTTGCTTAGCTAATTATGTCTTTCCTAAGAGTAATATACAAAGTTGGATAACTAATTGAGTCCCACGTTGGAGTGACTTCCTCGTAAAAGGAAGCGCTAATTTATGACCTGAATAATTTACAGATTAAAATATTTATTGATTACACCTTCATCAATTTGAAAAGGGGAACTCACGTTATTTGTAAACATTTCCGATGCTTTTATTTAAGATAGCGTAACATTTTGTTCTCTTACAAGGCATTAATATTTAAATTATGAAGTTAATCAATATACATGCAAAACAACGGCTTTATTATTTTAAAGGAATATGAGGCTAATTTTGAAACTATCGGAAAATTTTTTTTCATTATCAAGGGCCAACTTTTTTCACATTAATGAATTATATTTTTTTCTATTCAAATTAAAAGCCTTATTGTAAAACACTGATAAGCTGCAATAAAATTAAAAAAACATGAAGATACAGGAACATGAAGATACAGAGGCAAATGAAGATACAGGATGTTCCGAAATTAATCTCTCAATTTCGAAGGGATGGTATAAGATATCAAGAGGAGGGCAACTTGGAATTGAGAGCCAGGTAAAGAGAGTTAAAATCATTAAAAACAAAGTCAATCTCAGGCTTGAATACTTGTAGGCACATCGGAGGATCTCATAGCGCTGATTGTTGTAACACTGGCTGCATCAGAAACACACTTGGTATTTTCGAATGTATCCGGGAATCATCTTTAAGTCCTTGTAGACTGAAATGACATCATTGAGTGCCACTTTGGAAAGATCAGGGATCATAAATCAAATAAATATTCTGTTATTTTCCAACATGATGCTGAAACCTGCCTGTGTTTTCGTGATTTCAACTACTCAACGATGTCTCCAAGATCATTTTCTGCAATAAGTGTTCATCTTCTTTAGGCCTTTTTTACATCCCTCTAATTTGTTAGTCTAATTTCAGAACACTGATCATAAAAAACAGAACACGCGAATTATAGTGGATAGATTTCCTTTTTGAGTATCACGTTAATTTAATTATCTTAGGAAAACAGGGTGATTTCTAAAGAAGCACGCAGTTTCACTGCACCATAAATCAAAAACAATGTAGGATGTTGTATGTAACCTGCAACAGAATTGAATACGTTAATTTTAAGTTTTATCAGAAATAGTTTGAAGTGTTCTATGTGTATCCTTTTAGTCATACTACATACATTGAGCAGATAATCCATTTCCAGTTAAGCATGGTTGAAAACGAAAATTTTGTCGATTACTTAGTTTTCACTGATGAAAGAACATTCGTCATCGGATCACAGTCATCGGATTGGTAAACAAGCAAAATATTATAAATTTAGGGATCACAGAAACCCATATTTACAGAGTACCAAGTGCGAGATTCCCCTAAACTAAATGTATTCTATACAGTGTTCAGGAAGAAAGGGTTCCGCTCTTTTTTCAAAAGCAAAGTGACATGAGAGCCACTTTTTGGGAATTGTTAACTCTTTGATAGATGCCACAGTCGCCGGAAGACAGTGACAAATCTTTAATTGAATTCTCTCATTGAATCCTATTCTTTAATTGAATGGTGCACCATCACACTAGTCGGCCCCTTAAGTGTAAGAGTATTCTGATGAATATCTCGCACACCGACGGATTGGCTGAGTCGCGGACTATAACATGCTACTTACTCAAAGAACACCCCATACTCTTTGCCTAACACCGTGGATTCCTTCCTGTATGGATGTGTAAAAGAGAAAGTGTAAATCCCTTCCCTTCTTTCATCATTCTTTCAAGTCCAAAATTATCTCGATCAATATCTCCGGTGTATGTCTTACATGGTTCTTGATTTAAAATAATTTAAGTGATTTAAAGTGCATTGAACTAGTATACTCTTTTATGAAGGATCCTTAATGATTATAAGTTTCCACTATAAATATTTTCTCTTTGAATTTCCCCCGAAACTATTAAAAAAATTCTTTTGCTACCATTTTAAGTGATTTAAAGTGCAATAAACTTGTATATATTTTTATAAATCATCCTAAGTAATTATTAGTTCTCCCTATAAATATTTCTGCTCGAATTTCTCCCGAAACTATTAAAGAAAAGGAACTTTTGCAACCATTTTTTCTTGATCCATAAAAATATTAAAATATTGATTATAGTGGTTTCATAATAAAACCTCAAATTAAATACCATACCTCAAAAGTAAAAAATTTAAAAATATATTATTAATGGGGTAACTTAATAAAATTTAAAGTAAATGTACTTAATTAGACACAAAGCAATTAACGAGATTATCAAGATAAGACTTGTGATTGCCAAAATCAATGAAATACACTCCAAGCATTACTTATATCTATTACTACAAGGATTATTAAAAATGATTTTTTTTCTTACATTGTTATTAAAAAATATCTTCCGTTGAAAAAAGAAACTCAAACTATTTTATTAAATCAATGTGATTCGAAATTTATTTTACAGGAGAGCAATGTTTATGGAACAGATGGAGAAGAGCCTGGAGATGAAGAATCTTTTCATCATCAAACTCATGGTGACTCGGACAAAGACACTATAGACAGAGATAAATACAACCTTTGGGAATTCGAGGTAACAATTTTATCCCTCAAAGGAAACATTTTCGCTCATTTAAAAGACAATCATTAAAACTGCAATTCTAATTACGTATATATTAGGTGCTATGCATACTTAAATGTTTTTAAAATCCCATTAATTTTCAGTTGGATTTATTTATGTATGTAGTTTATTAAATAAGGTATAGAAAATAACTTTTACCGAAGAATAAGTAAAGTAAAAGAAAAGGATACCAATATAATGAATTAATAGATAATGATATCAGTCAAAACAAAGAACGAATAAAAATACAAGTCAATAAAGTAAATAAGAAGAATATCAAGTATAATGACGGGAGAAAATATTAGGAATTTTAACATCGTGCTGTATTATCACATTTTTTATGAAAAAAACTCTGAATTTAAGAGATATTGATTAAATAGCTCCCAAATAATAATATTTCTAAGAAATATCTCTTTATTAATTTCGTTCGATGTTATTTAGTTCATTTTTTCTAAAAAAGTAAAATCCAATCATATTTTAAATCTAAGTGTCTTCATATATATCATACTGATCTTTAGACACCTCCTTAGCATGTCATTAAAATTAGGAACTGAGCAAACATTCAATATTTTACGCATTAGCTAATTAATTTTTTATAATTTTTTCTATGGAATAGTAATTTCAATTGAGTAAATTGTATAAAGGAAAAAATATTGTATAAAAAATGCATCAAAAGAAAAAGAAATTGAGAAGCAAAAATTTTAAATATATATATATATATATATATATATATATCAAAGCATGTCAAATAGTAACAGAAATACATTAAAAAAAATTGACTACTTCATATATTTCAAAATCCTTGTAAAAAAGAATGTTCTCAATTAAAACAAATGGGATATTATCGTGAAATTAAAATTCGCCTATATTAATGTACTTTCTAGTTTATGACTTTCTTTGATCAGCCAAAAAAAATTTAATTAATTTTTCTCTGTAACTTAAAAATTATTTCTATGATTCTTCATATAAATGTGTGACAGTCATTGGCAGTTTTAGCCATTGACTATTTCTTGGCATCATGAAGTTTAAGGCTATTTCTTGGCAAAGGCACGCCAAAGTAGACACCTATTTTTATAAGAACTAAATTTATGAAGGATTAAAAAAATAATCTTACAATTGCTTATACAAAACTGTTCTCGAAATAAAAATTAGTTCGTTAAAAAATTTGAACAAAATAAATAACTTTCCCTTCCTGTTATGTATTTTTGAGACGACCGTGAAAATTTTTGAAAGAAAGCTGCATTTTCAATTATCAATAAACATATTTTAAAAAAAGGGTGTCATCATATCTCGATAACTTTTTAGGCAAATTGAAAAATTATTGTACTCAATTACAAAATTCGTTTATCCAAAGATAATCCCATGCAGACAATAAATTTTAGTAAATATGTATTTTCCATTATTTTACTTATTTACAGTGGAAAAAAAACTTCACATGGCAAAATACAGTATTTGAACAAAATTGTTTAAATCGTTACTGAGAAATCAAGTTTTAAATATAAGTTGTTGTTTTTTTAAATTTTTTTAATTCGATTTCTCAGGAACTATTCAACCAATTTTGCCCAAATTTTGTATTTTGCCATTTAAAATTAGACAATATGAAATGACGTAATAAATTTTCTACTTTACACTACAAATGTTTTTGACTATTATTAAATAAAACAAAGAAAAAATAATTAACACTTACTAAATTTCTTTTTTGGATAGAATTATTTTTGAATAAATGAATTTTATAATTGTGTGCAAAAAGCTTTAAATTCATTAAAAAAAAATTCGAGACATAGGAAATACGCAAAAATAAAATTAACATTAGGGGTTGAAAACTTAGGACCGTTCACCTGACTAAAATATTAGGACTATGTGTCACAGATTGCAGCTATCCCATATAATTAAGGGGTCTGAAATCTGAATCTGTCTAAAAAAGATGTGTTTATTCAGAGAAAGTACGTTTTTGTGTCTTATTTCGTATTTTAAAATATCATCTGTACTAAATAATTATCAACCTATAATTCTTTAAACATAGCGTATAATTTGTCTGTAGAAGGAACCTCCCTCGCCACAAAGTCTAAGACCGTCAGTTGCCATTGGAGCAAGAAACAGCACAATACTAAGAGCTGAGCTTTTCTCTCCCTGATTACCTTTCTCGCACTGAACCAAACCAAAATCAGTCAAATATTGACCCAAAACCCGTACTTGGAATCATTAATTAACGCAACCATAGTCACCCCCCCCCAGATGAATGACGAGGGTAGCTCTTCCCATAGACAATTTATATGTAAAAACTGGCGGACTTAGCTTGAGAAAATATGCGTATAATAATTTTAAAATTTATTGCAGGTTCGACGACCTGAACATGATGCTATTGTTATGTCATCTCAAAGCAAACAAACCTCAGCCAGTGCATCGTCACCAATGGCAATTTGTCCTCCAACTCTTCCTCCGGATTATATTCATCACCATCATCAGATTCTCCATGCTCCCCAACAAGGTGTCCGCATGCTTCCCCCAAAAGTACCCCCTAAACCAGTTATGGTACCAACAGTTGCATCCGAAAACTCGCTTCCTGAAGCTCAACCCCTGTTGCCCCACTGCGGAATTCAAAATCCCAATGCTGCCCCCTCACAAATTCAAGAAATGCCAGTTTGAAATGCAAACTTGAAGAAAATATTGGAAAGATAATTGAAGTGAATTGTTCTGTGCTGTACTTCATGTACTGTACTTTAAACCTCAGAAAAAGACTGTCCTCAAAGTTGGCGATGATATTCACATTCTTTGATATGATATATTTCAAAGATATATGAACAAGTTTTCACTTATGCGAACAAAAGTGTGGTGAAATATTTGATGGATCAAATATACTCAATGTTCAATGGCGTGCTTTCAAGACAATTTTCCAGATATGGATTGATATTTAGTTCTTACCAGTGATATTCTCAATGTAGATGTGTTTTCTATATTGAAATCAATGGTGTTTTTTGTTTTCCTTTCGGGGGTGGAAATACTATGGCGCCTCCTAAAAATAAACAAAGAAATAATGTGGCCCAAACTATAAAATAACTAAATCAAACTATTTTTTTTTCTTTTCTTTGACTCCTGCATTTGATAGATGGTCATAAATTGCCCTGCTCAAAGAGTTTAACGAGCACTCACTCTCTTAAGTATATAAGATAACATAATCCCCTCTTTGTTGCAACATTATTGACAAAACTCTATGTGTCAAACTAAGTATGGTATTTTTGAAGATCACGATCAAAGTTTCTCGAAATGATGCCATCTGTCCTGAAAATAACTTTGTTAAAACCGCGAAAAAAATAAATTACGTGGATTTTTTACGACATTAAAATTTTTATTCAAAAAATAAATTTATAAATTGCATTTTTTATTCGAACGAAAATTAAATATATTGATAGGGTTAGAAGTATCTACAAAGTTGAGAAAACCAGTATTTATGATGGTTTTTTGGGAATAAACTTAACTCTTTCCCTACACTTTTTTTTCACTTTGTGCGCATTATTATATTCTATTTCATGAAAAATTATTAATCTACGCTTCTGATGATTCTCAGGACATTTCCTGTAAGAATTGTTCTGAGTCAATTAAAAATTTAAATATTTAATTGATCGAAGTGAAACTATGATATTCACTTGAGGAAGACTTATAATGTTTGATTTATAACGATTGTGCACTGTTATTCGTAACTTTCATAATTCATACTTCATACTTTTGAAAAAAATATCTGCATAATTTAAAGGGGTTACTCTTTTAGAAAATAATATTAAAATACTAATTTTTGAAAGCATGTAGGCAGGCGCATCTCTTTTAGGAAAGCCAATATTATAACAAATATTTATTTATTAACTTACAAAGATGATAATTGTGCCGACCGGCCTATGTAGGGGATAGGGAACTGCCCTTGCACCAGAATGGTTCTGGGTTCGAATCCCGGGCAAGGCATGGATGTTCCTTCCTTCTCTGTACTATCTGTCCTTACTGTGGGAGCAACGTTGGCCCACCTAATATGGTGACCCTGAAAGAGTGGCCTACAAATATGCCCTTGAGGTGTCTCTGTGACCTAGGTCATTATCCAGGTGGGCATTGGGAAAAATATTTAATGGTCAATATTCAAAAATATTTTTGTTTTTTTAATATAATGTCATAAAAGCATTGTGGGCATTTTATCAAAATATGATTTATCTTTAACAGATTGCAATGAATAATAAAACTGAAAAATATCGTTGAAATGACAATTAAGAATGACGCGTTAAATATAATTGAAAATACTTTAAAAAGTATTTAATCTGTGTTTTTGATCGTTGTATAAAAAACAAGCACGCTACTGTTTGATGTATTTTTGCTTAGTCAAAAATCCTGGTTCTGATCCATATTTACTCAATGCAAATGTCATCATTTTAAAAAATTTTATTCGTGATATTCAAGAAGAGATACGAGCTTTGTTGTTAAATAAAATTTCCATTTTTTGCAAAGAGAGGAAATGGATTCTTCATAGACTCGATTTAACAACTGACACTCTAATTTATATGAACATTGTATTTTATAAATCTTGTAAGCTTAATGTAAAAATGTTAACGCAGTCCGAGTTTCTCTGTAGTACCATTTATTTCCATCCAAATGGATTAAAATAAATGATGTTTTAATCAAATTTATTAATGGTTTCAGCTCTAAATCACACATGGCTAGAAAAAAAAGAGATTAAATTGGAAATAGCGATTAAAAAAGGCACTTTTTTCTGGAACTGCAATTGTAGTGTTTATAATTAAATGATAAAAATTATGAAAAACACTTTAGACGAAAGATTAAAAATGAAATTACAAAGAATATAAATATTCCATATTTCACAATACTTTAGACGGTACAGATTGTGCGATACCTTAGATGGTAAGGACATCTCTGATTAAATAAAAACCTAATTCTGATAATAAAACCAAAATATACGGTATTCATAAATCGATATTAGGTAATTTTTCCTATCATATAATAGCAGTTTAACGTAAATACTTCTTTTTTTAATATTATGGTTCTTATTACCAAACATTTAATAAAATAATACAAAACTAAAAAGTAAATTTAACCAAATAAGTGGTTTTAATGCCATGCTTCATGGAATCATGATAACATTACCAAATTTTACCAAATTTTGTCACTTATTATAAAACTATAATTTTTGATTAGTTTAACTAAAATCATTGTTAAGGCGCATCGTTAAAAATTCCTGAGCCATTTGGTGCTTCCCCATACGGCCAGAAACATAGCAAATTTAACCATATTCAGATAGTTTCGACCATACTTTCTTTCTCAGTGTGAAATTTCAGTATATATTTAGATACAATTGATATAATTTAGTATAAGTTTAAAATAATTATAATAATAAGACATAAACACATAATATGTCAAAAAATTCTTTGTTTTACTTTCTCAATCAATTAATATATTTTAATATTCTAATTTCAAGTTAATTCATTAAATAGTGAAACTAAATGTAAAAAATAGTAAATTACAAATAGTCAAATTCAATTTCACCGTATAATTTGGTTTGTTTTCAATTGAATTATCATATAGATCATTTGTTTTAATTTTCTGCCACACAGAGTTGAAAATTTATTCATGCCTAATTGGAAATTTCGATATTATAAATTTTCTCTAACAAGATTCATAGAGCAAGAAAAGCGATTGTTGATTTTTACTAAATGACTGCTAATGCAAAAAGTTTGTAAAAGCTTACTCTTTTAACAAGATAAATGCCGCACTACTTTAAGACTCCCAGAGGCAAAATTTCTACTTAGGGTTGGGACGTCTATCATCATAATTCAATAGGAATAAAGTTTAACTTCTGCTATGAAAGCAGCCATTTCAAAGGAAAGAAAAATGCTGAATTGTTTTGAATGCTTTATAACGCTTAATATTCTTAAAATCAGATAATTCTGAAAGGACTCCATTAAAAATTATAAATATACTTCTAAATTGATAAATATAATTAGAATATATGCACAAAATATTTTTATTGAGGACTAAATATTTCAATAATAATAATTACAGAATAATGGGTTTTGTTAAATTTAAGAATATTTAATAAAATCACATTAAAGAAATAATATTATTAATTGATGAAAACATAATAATTTACTCATAACAGTGAAAAAATAATAGTTTAAGAATATGTAATAAAATCATAATAATGAAAAACTATTGGTTTAAAAATAATTAGTTCTCACAGAATAATTAATAGTTTCGAAATGATGGGGGCAGATTGATTTAGAAGTAATTGATAGTTCCATAAAATTAGAAAATAAACAATTTAAGAAATTATTAAATGCATAATAAAACTGAAATATTAAATTAAGAATAATTATAGTTACTGAATAATCGGAAACGATTAGTTTGAGGATGATTAATCGATGCAGAATAATCAATAATTATTATGTTATGTAAATAATCCAAAAAAACTGAAACGGTAAGATATTATTTGATTAACCTGTTGCTTATTGCTGGTACAGCACGTGGACCATATGTGATGGTACAACATGGCGCCCCGTAAGCAAAGGGTTAAAAGCTTCATTTGCTTTAAAAATATACGAATTGGAAATAACAGTCGATATATCACAAGCCCTCAAAAATAGGATTCCAGATTTGCGAGACGTGAATGAGAAGAAACAAAAGTGATTTAAAATATAAAATGTAAAGTTGCCAAAGAAAAATAGAAAAATAAAGCTGAGAAACAAAACTATAAAAAACACAGTAGCCGAGAGAAAAAAAAAAGATAAAACACAGAACTATAAGAATCACCAAGGCCGAGATGTGGAAGTGAGGGTAAAAAGGCTATGAAGAGATGGTGAGGAACTAATGTCGTTAGCAAGGGAATCAACATCCAAATGTATAAAAGAAAATTCCAGGGCATTTTCCGTTGGCAACTTCAAGTTTTATATTTTAAATCACTTTTGTTTCTTTTCATTCACATCGGGCAAGTCTTGAAAATGAGCACCTATTTTTAAGCGCATGGAACATGTCGACTGTTATTTCCGATTTCCACATTTTTTGAAACGAAATAAGGTTTTAGACAAGTAAAATATTTTATGGTTAAAGGTGAAGATGCATGGCTTATGAAATTAATTAAATGGATAAACATATGAAGAGAAAAATAAATAATCTTTTCAACCCAGTTTTTTGTGAAGAAATGGATTGAAATTAATTTCTAAAAGCTTCAAAATATCCGGCATTTCTGCTTAGAGTCGGGATTAAAACTCCATTTGTACACGAAATAAGAATTTACGTAGCATTCAAGGTAATGCAAATATAAATTCAAATAAATGCAAAGTCAATTCTAACTTTGCATTTAAAGCTCGCTTTCTAAACAATGCCACTTAACAGAGACGATTGCTATTCAGCATAAACCAATATCAGCTGGTAATGCTGCTAAGATTCATGCAAAGTTTCCAATCCAAAGTTTAGAATTGATCCTCTTCAATTCAGCAGAAATTTTGAGTCCAATTCTACACCAATTACAATCTCAGGCCAAATTATTAGATGCACTGTACTTTTTTAATAATTATATATTTTGCACTAGTTTGTATGAAATACCTTAATATATAAGTTTACATGTAATGGGTTTTAATCCAGGAGATGTTTTATATACTTTCAATTGGTATTTATTTTTAACGTATTGCATTACAATGTTAATTAATTGATACACGAACGTGAACAAGTGCATACTGGTTTCAGCCTCGTTTGCGCATGCGTCGGTTGCGGATGTGCTTCTGTGGCCTTATGCGCTGTGTTTATTTGTTTCGCAGTTTACTACGCAGTTATTTGATTATTTTTTGCCCAGTGTATAAATAATCAATTGGAGAATTTTCATCATGAGTAAAAAAGGTGATATTTCACCGTGGAAAAAACAGAACGTGAATGCTGAAATATTTTCAAACCGCTAAATAGCACGTAGATTTAAGGTTTCTGAAGTTAGCGTACGACGCAAAAAAAAGAAAATTGAGTCAGAGGACTAATTGAGCCCGAAACGAAGGAAAAGATGCAGCAGAATCTTACAGTGCGTCTATTAATTTGGCCAGAGATTGTATAGCAAGTGATCGACAGGCAAAATATCAACATGATGAATTTTTTAACGAATAAATCACGTTTCGAAAATTATTTGCTTGTATATTTCTCAAAGTAATAATAATTCATTCATAACCATAATTTATATACAATCATAGTCGTGAGTTTCTTTTTTGTTTCGTCTCACGAAAAAACCCTTAAGCATTTAGAAATTTATGGGCAGTGTTTACATTTAATGTGACTTACTGGTTGTTTTTCTTGATTTCACTTCTTGTGGATTAGCTTTAATTTTTATATAAAACTCCTTCCGCAATTTTTACAATACTAAAATTCTGACAAAAAATGCTCTGCAATCATAAAAATTACCAATCAGAACATATATTCTTTAATAAACGTAAGAAATCTTTCAAGAAATTGCGCGAAGAAAACATTTCAAAAGATTGAACAAAGTGTCAAAAATTTTGTTTTTAACGTAATGGATTTAAAAATTTTAAGATTGATGAATAAACTTATTGACCGTTTCCGTTTAACTTCTTTTGATTAATTCTAAATAAATAATTTTGAATTTCGACATATTTTATAAAAGCACAATGCTTTTAAAGTGAATATTTATTGATATTGTGAAAGTGAATATTTATTGATATTGTGAAAGTGAATATTTATTGATATACAGCCGTTGCTGATACATTAATCAAATCTGTGTGATCAGTCCACATTTTAAATGTTCGATTATGCACATGGATATCGTATTTAGATTAGATAATTAGCACATACACATGTGTGCTAATATATAAAGATGTTTTCGTGTTGATAAATATTATTAAATATTTTTATTTTGAAACTCACTTATGAGTAAGATGGTTTGAAAGTAGCAGAGAAATGAGTTTTTTGAAGGGAACTATTTTTATAATAAATTTTTATAGGGCAAAGATGCGCATTTTAATAAAAGAAATTATTAAAAGTGTTATGAATATATAATATTATATAGTAGATCCGTAAAAATTTACAAAATCATTATAAGCCAAATATTTTGATTTCTACAATGAATTATAAAGAATGTTTACAGATCGTTAAATGTTTTATTAGGTTTTACTGAATAAAATGTATGACTTTGGAGTTGTATTTAGAGATAAAATAATTCGTTGTATTTTACGCTTATTGTAGAAAATTTAGTTTAGAAACTAGAAAGAAATATTGAAAATTCGTATGATTCTATTGCTGCTCAGTTCGGCTCTGTCCGTCCAGTTTTTATTAGTATTTTTAACGGAAATTATGTACTAATTAAGTTACAATAATTTTTTTTAAAATTTAGATCTTAAAGTTATAGTAAATTAGAGCATTATTTTGAGCAAAATTCATATTAAAAATAATATGCACATTTTACTTTTCCAATTATGTACTTATAAAATTTATATTAAAATATTTGTTTGGATTTCAGTCAAAAAATAAGATGGGATAAAATATCCGCATTACAAAAAATATCGGAAATATGTCACGGATATGTGACTAGTGTTAAGAAGGCTACATATGTGACTAGTGTTACAAAGTCTACATATGTGACTAGTGTTACAAAGTCTACATATGTGACTAGTGTTGCGAAAAAATAATAATTTTAGCGTACGCTCTTATTTTTATCTAAGAATTAAGCATATTTTTACCCTTGGCATAATTTAAAAGTATAACTAAAATTCTGACACAAAGATTCTACTGAAATGTTTTAAATGCTTCGAAAAACAATAATAATCGATAAGTTTTAAATGTTTCAAAAAATTCTTTTTCTACGTTTAAGAGAATTTCTAATATATCACTAAAATCATTTAAAATTAAAATTTTAAGGATATAATTATTTAGCAATTTTTAAAATTACATCACATGAACATTCCTGAATATTTTTGTAAGCTTTTGCAAAAATCCACACTCATTTGAAATGAATTTACGTCATTTTGTTTTTTTTAGATACTACTATTACTAAAAAATAGGGATATGTGCATAATTTTTACCCTAGGAATTAAT